ATCCTCCCGACTATCACCTCGGATTCACTTCTCCGCACGTCCTACCTTCCAGAAAGTGGTCGCTTCTCTGTTCAGAGTGTTGTTTCTATTCTTATCTTCGATCTCCTGTTGAGTTCGTAGGTGTTCAGAATGGTTTGATCCCTATTCAGCTGAATTCCTGAGACCAGACGAAATCCAGGTCTCCTACTCCTCCGCCATCTTGCTCCACCTCTGGTGCTTGCATCTTTGACTCTTGAAAGATCTCTGATCTCTGCATCTCTATGGCATTAAATGTCCCTGCGAAGGGTAACACTTTAGGCCCTGCTCTTCCCAGTGCACCTCAGTGAGAACTAAGGTATCTTATATATATAACACCAGTATTATAAATACATACGTGAATAAAATATATATTAATATATTTTATAATATATTAATATATATTTATGTATAAATATATATTAATATATATTTTATATATAATAGAATTACAAAATAAGTATTTTAGCAGAACAGCTGTGGTAGGGTAACAGCTATAAGGGGAGTATAGAATAGACTATTTGTAAGGGATCAAAAAGAGGAAAGAGGGCAGAGGAGACATGAGATGCCATTGTTAAGCATCTCATTTAAAAAGGCATCTTCCATCCCTCCTGACTCTACTATGATTTATTTTTCTTCACAGCACCTACCACTATCGGACATCGTGTTCCCTATTTGCTCATTTTTATATTGTTTTTCTGCCGCACGCTAGTCCTCACACCTTGCTGATAGGCTTGGGTTTCTAGTCCCAGAGCCCTGAGTAGTACCTGGCAAATATGTATTGAAGGAAAGAGTGAAATGATGAATAAATATGTAAATAAATAAGAAATTAAATTTTCTTGAAGGAAGGATGGATGGAAGGACAGAAGGGGAAAGAAGGAAGGAAGGAAAGAAAGAGAGAGAGAGAAAGAGAGAAGAAAGGAAGGGAGGAAGGAGGAGAAAGAGAGAGAGAAAGAGAGAGAGAAAGAGAGAGAGAGAGAGAGAGAGGGAAACAGAGAAAGAAAGAAGGAAGGAAAGCAGGAAGAGAGCAAGAAAATGAGGACAGGATGGTCCTTTACCCACAGTCGTGGACCATCTAAGTCACGTATGAAAGTCACTGTCACTCTTATAAGCGAGGATGAGCTGCCAGTCATAGATAACACTGACAGCAATTACTGGACTAATAGCCAGACTGGCCTTAATCCCATGAATATCCTCTGTGGGGGAGCAGATGTCCTCCTGAGGTTCCATCTAATTGTTCCATAGGAGACACTGCAGTCCTTGGCTTTCATAAACAACATTGTTTCCAGTGATAAGGAATCAGCTTGGATACAACATCAAGCATTACTGATGGAATAACAATGAATGATGAAGGCACAGGAGGCCAAAAAGCCTGAAGCACAGTCACATGCCTACGAAGCTGTGGCCAGATGAAGAACATTAAGTGTGCCCGAGTGGATTAAAAGTCTTAATTTATTCTATTTCCATAAGCATAAAACTTCAAGCTGGCGATTGACTTGAGCAAGAAAGGAGGCCAAGAGTACAATATGGTGAAAGAGAGGTAAGCCTCCGTCCCGGGAGTGTCCAGGAAGCAGGCCTGTGCTGACACACCCTTTACCATTCAGCTAAAACACATATTTTTAAACTATGTATAGCGTTCAAAAATAAGTTTAAAACATTCTAGAAATAAGATAATCATGCCTACGTACAGTAACGATTTTTCTTTTGAGTTAAAGTCTATCATAAGTTTTTGCTATAGAAATAGGAGTTTGAGTACAGCCTTAATTTCCACAAGACCTACGTTGGCGAGTACCAGGAAGGACAGGAAAGGACTCATGTGAACTGCAACCAAAAGAAAATTCTGGGGAGGAGGAGGCAGGAAGCGATGGGAAGGAAAACGGAGGTGCCACAAGGTATCTCATGGGATCAAGACAGCAGGGGGAGGAACAGCTGCAGGCTAGGAGTAAATTTAGAAATTGAATTCAGTGTAAAAGGTCCAAAGAAATATTCCCGTTTGGTGAATTTCTGCACAAGAAGCAGAGGAGAGAATACACAGTCCATTCGTAGTAATTACAGATGAGAGATTTGTCCCTGGAATTTGGAATACAGCTAGCCAGAATGAAAACTGGGGTGAATCTGGTTTAATTAAAGCAAGAAATAATGATGAACTAGTCTGGGGAATATATCAGGAGGGAGCTAAGAAACTAGACTCTTGTGTTAGGCTAATCCCAGCTGTATTCTAAAAGTAAGCACTGGACTTTTCATTTTCCTATCATCTAGAAAAGATGGAAACCCTGTATTTCCTCAAATGCTATTGCATTTATCATTTCACATACACACGAACATCAAATCATGGTGTTATATACCTAAACTAATATAATGTCAGTTAAATCTTAATTTTTAAAAATTCTATTGCATGTAAATGACTAGCAGACATATGTTATTGGCTGATATTATCCAGCCTGGGGAAGTATTGAACAGCACAAAGGAAAGAGGATGAAAATCTAAGATCATGTCCAAAGAACAGAGCAACTTCCTTCATCCCGTAGCTGAGCTGACACATACTAAGTTGCTTTTGGTTAGAAATGAAAGACAATCAGCCTAAACAAAATGACAATATCCTGGCCCTTGGGCTCCAGGGTAGAGGAGAACAACTCAACAGTGCACAGGGCAGACATGCAGGTGAGCTTCAGCATCACCTGGAACACAGGATGTGGACCCTCCAGGATTCTCTCCATTTCTTTCCTCTGCTTCTTCTTTACCCATCACCTTCTTCCCATCTCCTAGTGGCTGCTCCAGAGGCTCAACTATCAGTTGATCTCCAGTCTCACAACTTAAAACTTCCACTGATTCCCCAGGGCAGAACTCAGAGTTGGCCCCTGCTTGGGTCAATCAAATGAAGAGAACAAGATTGCCTAAGAACATGGCATCATCAACTAAAACTGCGTATTTACAGTGTGCATGTTGGGGAAGCAAAAAGGTGAGACACGGAAGAAAAAGGGGGGAGGTATTCATCATGGGATAGTTCCAAAGATAAAGAGGGTGCTGTTCCTTAAAAAAGGGGGGGAAGTTTCCAGACAGACTAAAAAATTTGTCATGTGCCTACCAGCATCTCATTACATGCTGGAAAGAAAAACATTTTTGTCTTCCAGATATATTTCAGGGTAAAAATTGACTTTTTTTTTTTTTTTTTTTTTTTTGCACAGCATCTCTTTCACTGTGAGACAGGTCACTTGGTCCAAAAACTGACATTCTTTCGTTGTCTGTGACAATGAATAGAACATCAATCAGTTCACTAGTCCATCACCTGGGAAGGTTTCTAGACTATAAATGCCTGAGATCCAATGATGCTGATAGTTTTGCTGATTCCCAGGCCTCTGTGAATTCCCAGGCTTCTGCTGAGCAAAATGTGCTGGTATTTCTATTTCTCCTCTGGTTAATTCTTCAGAGTCAGGAAAACTCAAAATCAGTCTATGACAAGGGTACAAGGAACATTTTGTTAGAAAATCTGAGTAGCACTGTTGACATCAGCTCAAACGTGCTATTTCTTTTAATACTCATTATGAATTGGTCACCCACTAATTTGCCTTTAAACCTATCTATATTTCAAACTGACATCGATTCTTAGAATAAAATGTAGTATGTATGATTAAAATGTAATTTATTTTTCTTCCGATACCTCTGTCAAGCAGTAGTAAGACAGGTAACAGGGTCACAGATACTAGATCATCCTCTTATTAAAAAAAATTAAAAGCCAGCATCTGCATTTTGATACCACAGACCATAACATAATTTCTCAATTCCACCTCTAACACGGTTAAGAGAATTTCCAATTAAAACACAAATAACAAATTATTCTGGGGCCACATGAAGACCTTAGGCCAAAAGGTAACATTAAAAAATGTTTTACTTTAATTTTACATCTAATGTAGGGTCACTAAAAAAAGAAAAGGGAAGAAAAGGAAAGGAAGGAAAAAATAACACAAGTTTTATATCTAAATGCATAAAATTGAGAAATAATGCTACTTTCCAAGAATAAAACTTTGATTATCTATAGTCATCTGGGAATAAGATTTTCTGCCTATATCCACTTTTTAGATAACAAAGGTAAGCATATGATGGGACTCTTTTTCAATTGTATCATATACTTCCTTGACTTTTTCTCATCAACTTAGCAACTGGGTTGTCTGCACCAGGGTTTCTTGGGATTGTAACGTGGGTAGAGCTTCTGACCCTGCCCTAAATGACTCAGCCTGAAGTGCTTGCAAATGGCTCTGGTTTTGTAATCTCTTCCTCTGATAGCCATTGAAGAATAGAAATTCCATCTTCTTAATTTGTTGCTTCTGTCTGCTATTGCCTTGGGAGTATTGAAAAAACAATGTTATTAAGTTTATTAAAAGTTGGTTTTTAAAGTCACTGAGTGAGGGAGTAGAGATACTACCTATGGAATTAAAATTCAGAGAATGTATGTCAGTTAACAGCTCGATAGGTATGTTCTGGAGGATTGAATTTACTCGCCTAACCCTAAACTAAGTGAGATATTACTGGTTACTAAATAAAGATGAATGGCTTCTCTTTTCCTTTAATGATGGAAGAATTCTAGAAGAAATATCCAAAATTAGAGGCAGAAAATCTGTGTTGTAATGACACATCTAGTTACACACCTGAGTTCCAATAAAGTAAGAGCAGACATAGTGAAGCCTATCGCACTGGGAGTGGAGAGATATAGAGTACAGACCTCTATGCCCAGCCCTATCGCCCACTAGTGGCATGACTCTGGGCAGAAACTTACCTTCTCATTGACCTCATTCCCTTCTTCTAATAAAAGGGAGTACAACTAGATAAGCAATAAGGACCGTCCAGCTCCAAAAGCCATTACTCAACCCTGACACAATGTAGGGGATTGGTTATTACCAAGAGGAATCTTTCCCAACCTTATATGATATATAAGGGTAGTTGTGATACTATGAATAATGAAGTCATGGCTATAAGGACTTAGTCAAAAGGGAAATAGGAAGAGAACCTATGAGTCAACTTACAAATTATCTACTCTAGGTGATAAAATCCAAAAAGTGCTGTAATAATAATTCTTCTCATAATTGATGCCACTCATATAATTTAAAAACTTAAGCTTCTTATGTCTAAGCACTTAATTAATCACCCTTTTCAAAGTAAATGCGTAGGTGTACATGCATATATATGTTCCCCAGTCAATAAGAATACCTTAAAAAAATTCTGGAACTTTAATTAAATTATATCCTTTGGATCTGCCAATTGAAATTGAGTTGGTCAGTGGATCCCTCTGTTGAAAAACTTGTCCTATGTTTATTTGGGTGCCATCATCAGTTAACTCTACTTTTGGGATCAAAACCAAGGGTAAGATCTATGGTGGTGATGAAAATATAAAACTCTTTGGTGGACTTGACTGCAACGTAAGCAGGGACAAGAAAGAAATAGGTCTGGGGACTAAGAGTATTGAACTCTGATCTAGAAATTATAAATCCAGTTTCCTTCAAGAAAGACCTTTTACATGACAAAGGCACAGTCCAATTATATGGTTAGGATTCATCCGCATTTCTCCTCTTCAACTTGATCCAGATGCCATTAGTTGGACGAAGAATCAACTCTCCTGCTAGACCAAGTTCTTCTCTTTTCTGGTTGGATTCTACCCAAAAATGCCTCAGGATGCAGGAAAGAATGGCCTTTTCTTCCATTATGGCAAACCTTTGACCTTCAAATTAATGTAAATAGCATTACTTTAATTATACATACATCTCAAATCTGAGAAATCATAGGTCCTATTAGAGGAAGCAAGCGATTTTATATTTTCATAGTAGGGACAATCAGAATCACTTGGGATGTTTGTTAAAAATGAAGATTCTTCAGTTCCCTTCTCTGCTCCTACCCAGTGCATCCAAATAGTTGGGGTCGGGTAGGTATCTGTATTTGAGCAATAACCCAGATGAATTCTGGTCATTGAAGCATGAGAATCACTACTTTAGATGGCTTTCTTATTGGGCCTTTAATTTACTACAGTAAATATGCTTCAGATTCATCCATTTAAATCTGACCTCATTTTACTAACACCTGCGTTTACATGGATGATAAAATGCTAGAGATCCTAAAGTCAACGCGTTTATAATGCATGATGATGTGCATTCATTTTGTTTTAAGTACTTCAGCTGTCCATATGGTAAGTCTTCTATGTTTTCATCTTGCAAGATGCAATTCTTAAAAGCAACAAACACAGATATTAGGTTAAATACAGCTAATCACTACAAATAAGTTTTCTACTATATAAAATATATTCTACTTTGACCAAAATCAGCATGTAACTGATTGTGCTTTATGTTATGGGCTGAACTGTGTCCCCCCATATTCATATGTTGAAGCCCTAACCCTCATACCTCGGAATGTGACTGTTTTTGCAGATAGGATTTTTATAGAGGTTAATTAACTTAAAATGAGGTTATATGGATGGACCCTAATCCAATCTGACTGGTGTTTTTTGTTGTTTTTTTTTTAAAGAAGAAATGAGGACACGAAACACACAGGAAAGACCCCGTGGAGATATGGGGAGATGACCATTTATAAGTCGAGCTTTAGAAAGGCCTCAGAAAAAACCCACCCTGCTGACCCCTCGATTTCAGACATCCAGCTTCCAGAATATGAGAAAATGATTATCTGTTGTTTAAGCCACACCAGCTGGTAGTATTTTGTAATGGCAGTCCTAGAAAATTAATCCTTATGACAGTCTTTTTTGGAATAGTAATGTATAGTGAGGGGGAGGAGAAAGGAAACCAGTTTTTTAAGACTGTTGCCTATGAGACACTACATCTCAAAGAAATTATTCTGAAAAACCCACTACCATGTGGGCTGGAAAGGTGAAACCAATTCTGATGGATACAAACCTATACAGTTTCTGGGTCCAGCAGAGAAGGGCACGTATGCATATGGATGGCGTCCTTGCAAATTCTCAGGAAAGAACCGCTCGGGCTGGAACTCCTCAGGATTTGGGAAGTATCTTGGATCTCTATGCAGTGCATAGGGAATGATGATGGCTTGAGAGCCTTGCACAATTTTGTAACCCCCTGTCAAGAGGTAGGCAATATGTCATAAGAATGGAGTAAGATGGACATTAAAAAATCCATTCTCCCTACTCTCCTGATTACAGAGTTCTTACCAACTTCACAATCTTCAGTAAGATTACGGGCAAATAAAGGAACAGAAGGAAAAAGGCGAAGGCTCTCCTTAATGACACATTCCAAGTATTTGAGTTTCTTCAGGTCCTCTAAGGCAGCAGGATGATCAGACTTCCCTGGTTAAAAGGAAATACATGAGATGACAATGAAAGAACTCTATGGGCTTGGGGAATGGGACATCAAAGAGGAATTAATCAAAGCACCAAATGTTAAATACCTACAGCCAAAGTGGGATTTCTAATATTATACATGATAAAATGAGATGTGTTAAGTGAAAGAAACCAGACACAAAAGGTCATGCATAGTATGATTCCATTCATAGGAAGTTCTCAGAACAGGTAAATCCATAGAGACAGAGAGTAAATTAGTGGTTGCTGGGGGCTGGAGGAAGAGGGAATGGGGTATGGCTGATTAACAGTACGGGGTTACCTTTTGGGGTGCTGAAAATGTTTTCGAATTAGATGGAGTAATGGTTGCACAACATTGTGAATGTACTAAATCATACGCTTTAAAATGGTTAATTTTGAGTTCTCAGAGCTTCCAGATGTGCATCTTCTCTTGGGTCAGATTCTTGGCCTCTCCCAAGAGAGGCACAGTCCTCTTTTAAGAATTGCATCTTAAACGCAATTCTTAGAACGCTTTTCGTTCCTGTGTCAGACAAAGACACTAAGATTGCCTCCTGCCTCCAGGCCAGAGGATACATCAACCTCTTCCTCTCTGGACGTGCCACAGGAAGGAAAAGAACAGCAAGGAGCAACTGAACATACTGATGAAGTACAAAATGAAATAGATGGACCTGAGGAAAAAGCCAGTGAAGAATTTTGAAGGGATAACAGAAATATAACAAACCACCCCAACCATGTTTTCAAAGGAGGTTGGAACTGGTCACCTAAATCCCAAATTCTGGGGTCACAGCATCCGTCAGCCACCCACAAATCTGCCATTACTTGGGGAGGAAAACGAAGAGGCACTGCATTATCTGACCAGAGTCAAAGTGACCGAATTTGAAGTATTAAATCAGGTTATAGAATAGATATTCATTTTGATAAAAAAAAAAAAAAACAACCCCTCCTTCAAAAATAAAGTTCTCTCCAAAGAATTTCATCTGGATGAGAATGTGATCCATCTTCAAAGCCTACTGAGATCAAATGGAAATCAAAAGGATTTGATGAGATGCTCAAGTCAAATGCAAAATAAAGCCAGCAGGAAGAGGGAGCATGAGGAACCAGAGAGCTTCTTTCTCTGGTTTACTGACCATTCTCATGCAGGTACAGATGAGTTAGGAGAGGACATCCAAGATGGTATTTGGCGAAATCCACGACAGTACCACTTAGTTCCTGACATGGATGATGAAGAAGGGGATGGAGGAGGAGGAGAATATACTAACGGAGAGAATGAGAATGAAGGAGAAGATGAGGAAGTAGGGGAGGGAGGAAAAGACGGTGGAGGAGATGACAAATGGAACACTGATGGATTCCAATCTTCTTGTTTTAATTTTCTCCAGTCCCCTTGTGCTCAGTCATGCTGTTCTTGAAATCTCTCTTCTCTCCTTTATACCATGGTTCTCAACTTATTTGGGGGTGGGGGGGAGGGTAATACCTTGAGCACAATACACTGGGAAGAGAAACTCTACCCTTTTCTATTCCAAATTCATTTTTATCCCTTTCTGTCTCAACCAAAACTTCATATAAACAACACTCTTGTGCTCTGTGGGGGACCAAAAAAACAAAAACAAAACAAAACAAAAACAAAAAATAATGCTTCTGCTCCCTTAGCTCTGCTAGAAGCTGGGGAGTGCTTGGTCCCCATGTGGTAGTGCACAGAATTCTAGCTCTTCTCCTTTCCCTCAATATTGGGCTCAGAGATTACACTGTGTCTTTACATGAATATGGACAGTTAGCATTTACCAATATGTATCTGTCTACTTTCTTGTACTTTTATTTATTTATTTTTAAATGGGTTTCTAGAAGATCAGGGAAGGGTGGGTTAGAGATGCTTGGGCAGGTGAAGTGGGCATCTTGACAACATGGTTTCTCCTTTGGCATGTTTAATTGTGATGTTTAATGGGCATCCTTGCAGTTTAGGATGACACTTTAGAAATAAAATTCTCTCCTCGTGACTTGAGCCCTACCACTCGATGGGAAACACAGCGAGCCTGTAAGACCTTATCTGGAATTGACATTCTCTATTGTAATTATTTTCCTGTTTATTTAAAAAAAATTTTTTTTGTTTCACTGGGGGGAAAAGGATGATCAGTTACAAGTTGCTTTGTTACAATACAACTAAACATACACAAATAAATGGTTAATTTTATGTGTAACAAGAGGAATTAATACTTGCAACTCAATGTCCAAAGATTAGTTGCTCATGAAATTTTAGAGCTAATACTGGGGATAGAAGAAAAAGTGAGGCACCATACCATCATAGAAAATACAAGAAGGAGCAGAATAAAGCATCTAGAATAATGGTGTTTTAATTATGTGAGATCAAAAAGTATTTGTGAGACCAGCAATGAGCTACACATTGTAGAGGATACAAAATGTGAATGTATCCCAAAATAATGTGTGAGCTTTTCAAAGACCAAATTAACTCACCACAGGCAATATGAGAGAAATTAAAATCAATACAGAAAAAAAATAAAATGACTATAGAAACAGAGCCAGTAAGTTTAGATTGTCTCCATTCCACAAAATAAAGTCTTCCCTCTTGATATGAAATGCCAGTCTTCACACCACATGAACACTTGTCCAACCTCAACACATAAACTACTTGTCCAACCTCAGCTTTCAATACGTTCCGCTATATGTTCTAAATTCTAGCTGCCCCTCACTATTTACTACTGTCCTCCAAACGTTTCCATTTCTGTGTCACTGTCCATCTGTTCTCCTCATTCGAGAATGCCTGCCCTCTCCTTTTATCTTCATTTTTCCTTTCCTAGTTCTTTTCTCTATGCAACTACATCAGATACACTTTGTTGGTTGGCTGACCCAATCTTTCATTTTCTCCTCCCAGCTTTGGGAGCCATGTGATGTGTGATTAAACAAAGGATAAAAGTGATGGCACAATGTGTGGCCCCTTGTGGTCAGCTGGCAATGGCCCCTACATATCTCAAGTACTAATCCCCAGGACCAGTAAATGTTCCCTTATTTGGGAAAAGGGTGTCTTTGCAGATTTGATTCAGTTAATGATCTAAAAATGGGGAGATTATCCTGGTTTATACAGGTGGGCTCTGAATGTCATCACAAATGTCTTTATAAGAGAGAGGAAGAGAGCTCTTTCTCTCTCACACACACACAGAGAGAGAGAGAGAGAGAGAAGAGAAGGTGCTGTGAATAGAGGCAGAGATTTGAGTGATGGACCATAAACCAAGGAATGCTGGCAGGCACCAGAAGTGAGAAGGAACAGATTCCCCTGAGGCTTCCAGAAGGAGAACAACCTGTCAGCACATCGATTTAGGCTCAGCAATAATGATTTTGGATTTCTGGTGTTCAGAACTGTGAAAGAACACATATCTGTTGTTTTAAGCCACCCAGCTTATAGAATTTGTTATAGAAGACCCAGGAAACTAATACATCCTTCATTGCCCCTTCCCCTTTCCTCTTGTCTTGAAGACAAACATGAGACCTAGAACAACAATCAAGAAGACAAAAGCCACAATGGTGAAGAACAGAGAGAAAAACGAGCAAGACTGGGCCTCTGATGACATCCCTATTGGCTTCAGCCTAGGACTCCTTACCTATAGTCCTATACCGTGTATAACTAGCTATACAAGCAGATTGCTGGTTGTATAATAGAAATTTATGTCCACTAGCAGACCCCACCTCTCCTCCCATTTGTGGCCAGATGCAATCCAGTATGGAACAGCTTTCCTGGACGCCCTCTAACTAACATCACCTGTTCCTCGCTGCTCCCAAAGAGCACCTTCTCCATATCACTCAAGTGCATAGCCAGGACTCCATGCTTCATGCACAATGGCTGGCTCATCTACTAAGCAGTGAGGTCCTTGGAGATACAGCATTTATTTGTGCAACCCCAGCATCTAGCCCAATGCAGTCACATGCCAGGCAGGTAGCAAATGCCTGTAAGTGAGCAGAAGAGGCCTTGGAAAGGCTCCAGTACTGGAAGGGGTCCCATATGGGAGCTTTCCTGCTTATGACATTGTCTCCACAACAGGTCCTACTGCACATCCTCGATGAGCATGAATGGCATTGGTTTCAGTGGACTTGGGACCCATGGAGCAGCTAATGATGGGGCCAAACATACCAAACACTTCTTCCAGTTCACTGTCCACCTGTTTCTGGGCTTCTGGGTAAGAACCCAATAGATATAAGGACCAGCTTATTGCTGCTGCTGTCGTATCATGGCCCTACAAATGTGAGAAGAAACATGGCTTAAGAAGCAGAGTTGTATTGAAAAGGTCAGGGATGATGACTCTGTTTTGAATTGTCTCTGGATTTGACAGCTGCGGTGTGACTCCAGAACATCACAAATTAATTGCACACAGTATCTCACCTTGGTGAGAAGCAAACATATAAAATAATCCCTTCAAGGTGGAGGTTCATGCTTAGAGAGACATTTCACTGCTACATGGAGCTTTCTACTTGGTGAGAAGTGGCTCAGCTGTGCCAATAAAGGGGCATTCCAAGGAACAGCATGCACCAGGCAGTTTTAAAGGGGGAAAAGTCCAGGGGCATCTGGGTGGCTCAGTTGTTAAGCATCTGCCTTCGGCTCAGGTTGTGATCCTGGGGTCCTGGGATCGGGCCCCGCATCGGGCTCCCTCCTCAGCTGGGAGTCTGCTTCTCCCTCTGCCTGCTGCTCCCCCTGCCCGTGCTCGTGCTCTCTTTCAAATAAATAAATAAAATCTTAAAAAAAAAAATAAAGAGGGAAAAGTCTGATTTTTGTGAGCCAGCTTGCCAGATCTGTACTTCTCCACTTTCCCCTCCTTTGCAAGGTAGGCTTTACCTGTCGATGCTGGACACCAGGGAGTTCTGAGCATTCTCCACAGCAAGAAGTTGATAAATATCTTCATTTTAATATGTGCTGAGTTCTAGGCAAAACACTAAGTACTTCGGCAGAAACTAACACAATTGTTCTTTACAAAAACTTCACGAAATACTTGATACTGTTATTCACATTTTTGAGATAAAATACTGAGGCTGAATGTCCTATTTCATTTTGTCTGCTACCCAGAGAAAGCTGGATGAAGCAAAACAAAGCACGGAATTTACAGGAGAGCACCGCGGGGCTAGGGCAGGGGCAAAAACCTGCATATCTAGTGGCTGGCAGCCAGGCAATGAAAGGCAGGGCACATCCACCTTAGGGAGGAGGTCTCACTATTACAGTCGGGGGCATGCCTCCTATTCAATGCAAAGAAGAAAAAAACTCAGGATTTCAAAGAATGTGAAAACTGGAAGAAAGAGATCATTCCTTGGTCTGGTTGTTTTCATGAGTGTGAGAGGTCACTGGTGGGAGATGGATGTGTGTGTGCCATATACATGTATGTACGTGTAGGTCTAGGTGCATGGATGACAGTGTATGTGTGTGTGTGTCCGTGTGTGTGGATGCACGTGTGTGTATGTGTATACAGGGTGGAGATGTGAGAGGGTCTCTCCCCTTCAACATTGAATAACAGCCAATATCTGCTACATACTTCCTGTGTGTCAGGCACAATTCTCAGGACACTTTACTTTTTTTTTTTTAATTTGACAGAGAGAGAGCCAGAGCGCACAAGTGGGGGAAACACTAGAGGGAGCGGGAGAAGCAGACTCCCCGCTGAGCAGGGAGCCCGATGCGGGACTCGATCCCAGGACCCTGGGACCATGACCCGAGCTGAAGGCAGCCATTTAACCGACTGAGCCACCCAGGTGCCCCTCTTGGGACAATTTAAAAATTATTAATCTAATCTGTGAGGCCCGTCGTCTGACAATGAGGACGCTGAAGCCCAGAAAGGCTGGATAAGTGCCCAAGGTCACACCTCCAGGACAGGGTATGGCTGGGACTTGGCCCCAGAGACCACATGCTGAACCCCCCTCCATTTTTTAGCTAAGTAGATGTCCATTTTCTGCATAACATTTCTTTTCAATAAAGTGCTCTGCTTAAAAAAGAAGTTTGAAATCACTGCTCTAGGTCATCTCTCTATTTTACTCAGGAAAGCTGTGACAGAGATCGGGGATGACTGGAAGCATCTCATATGGCCAGTATGAACCAGGAGGAGAACCCAAGTCAATGGACACTCAACACCGCCTGCTTCCCTCTCCAGCACGCAGACTGTCCTCCCTCAGGAAGATCGGACAGAGGAGCACTAGCATCACACCCAGACGGCTCTAGGCAGAGCGGTTAACACACCACTGAGCATATGCTGAGCCGTCGAAAACCACTGATGCCTTTTGCTTTCCTCCACTTCCAAAATATTACCATGTGGTGCTTAAAAAAACCATTTCTTTACTTGGCAATCCATACATTGAGAGACTCACTCCTTGTAATATTTAATATAGTTAGTTAGAACTATCTCTGTAAAAATTGCATCTTTTATTATTGCTATTATTATTTGAAGACCAGAAATCTTTTCAGATTTACAAACTGGTTAAATTCTCTACGGGAGGGCTCTTGCTCTCTTCTTTAGTTAGGGCAGCTCATAGTAGTAGCTAAGTACTCATTGGTAGAGGCAGGAAGAAAACAGTCTTCTTTAAAAGAAGCTAGTGAAAAAAAGAAACTCGTGGGTTTTAGAGATTAAAAGGAAGCGTGAAGCGATATAGAGACTGACAGTAATTTCTGGCTGCTCTTCTGCTTGGAAAAGCCTGACAGACCTTAGGTTTTCTTGAGAGAAAAAAAAAAAATGTGTCTACACTGTACCCACCATGAATCAAAGATTTTCTGAACAAGGAAATTGATCTGATACTTAATTAGGTTCTTAAATTTTATAATCTTTAATGCTTTCTAATAACTCTTCCTTAGTTATATTAAGCTACTTTAAAATTTCATTAGGGGCGCCTGGGTGGCACAGTCGGTTAAGCGTCCGACTCTTGGTTTTGGCTCAGGTCATGATCTCAGGGCTGTGGGATCGAAAACCATATGGGGCTCCGTGCTCAGTGGGGAGTCTGCTTGGGATTCTCTCTCTCCCTCTGCCCCTCCCCCCTCTCTAAAATAAATAAATCTTTAAAATAAATAAATAAAATTTCATTAAACTTAAAAAATAATATTAAAGATTCTAAAAAATAACTGAAATTTAGTGATACCTGAAAATAACATGATGACATAGAATACCTCAAACATGAAGGTGTCAACTTCTTCTCGAACATCTTCATGACTTAGCTTGTTCCCTTCATCATCAGTCACATTTAAAAGCAAGTCAAGAAAAGCCCTTCGTTCAGTTTTGGAGGGGGAAGAGTCCTCGTCAGCACTTCCGGGTTCTTCTCTCTTCATTTCACTGGCCCGTTCAGTGATGACCTATGATTTAAACGATGACATGCTTTTGTCTGCAATTTATTATAACCTAAAAATACACTTTCCTATGAAAAGATACTAGCTTCTTTAGCTTATTTTTTTCTAAACCTTTCCTATCCTTGCTATTGCAACAATAACTTAGGCTCGTGTAAAAGTATAGTCAAGCCTCCTGTTCAATTTTAGGGCATTATTTGATAAGACTTCTAAAAATGAATTTAATGTCAGGCAACTTCAGAATTTTCAAGTGCTATTTTTACAGTCTTTCCATGGGGTATAGCATAATCATCTCTAGAGAGCTGAATGAGCCAACAAGATAAAAGTATAGGTGCTGGAGAGAATGCAATCCTTATATAGTAGACTACACATCGCTCTAATTACATGTCATATTGGAAAAAAGAAATAGCAATTTGCCGGTCAGTTCACCTGTTTGCTTGCTGTTCCTTCTGCTGAGACCACTCCTTCCTCCTCAGGGCTGGCTCCCTCCTTTCTTTCAAGTCTCTGCTCATTGTCACACTATCAGAAAGACCTTCCCTGATCCCTGTGATGCTAGTCCCTAGCACTATCTTCCCAAGCCTGCTTTATTTTTTCCCATTTTCCTTGCCATCTGGCACGATGTTATACTTCCTATTTGGTGCCCTTCTCTTCTAATTCAAATGTATGACCCACATGGTAGCAAATTTGTCTTTGTTCATTGATATATTTCCAACCTCTGGAGCACTGCCTGGCATTTTGAGAACGCTCGGTATTTGCTGAATGAACGAAAGCATTAAAGCCCATCAACTCAACTTTTTTTTCTCCTATTAGGCAATTGACCAAACCTGCAACTAAATGGTTTGAATGAATAGACCCTAAGTTCTTTGAGTGCAAGATCTCCTGATGGAACCCCTGGTGCCTCGCATTCAGTATGCAATTTTCAATATTTATTAAATGAATAATACTGTTCGTCCAGTTTGAAATTCATTAATTATTGATATTGATATTAATGCATGAAAACTGAGGAAGAACTCAATTATACCCATAAAATACAAACTGTTGGCAAGTCTCCTAAGCCAGGTGATCGCTCTAGATTCATCTTTAACGCAGACTGACGTCCTATACCCAAAACAACATCACTATCTCTTTGTTATCATTGAACTGGACATAAAATAGCAATATCCAGTTAATTTTAATTTTTTCCGAGTTGAAATACTAGCATAAAGGCCCTTTGCCTTTGAAAACTACTGTCTTTCCATACATTTTCCACAAGACCCTTATAATCCTCATCTTGTTATTCTCTTAACACAGCACCCTCTTTGTTAATAAATATTCACAGTTCATATTGCATTTCGTCATTTTTTAATAGATAACCTCCTTTACTAAATGAACCTTTTTAGAGTAGGGAACATACACGTCCTACTCATTACTATATTTCTAACACTTGATAGTGCATTTGCCACTTAACAAGTGCTTAATTAATATTTACTAAGTACATAGTTGAAATGTAATCATCTTGCCTACTTTTTTCCATCATTCAATTCAAATTTTATGAGGCACAGGCTCCATGGTCCTACACCGGGTATACTCACAAAACATAAAAGTCAGGGATTTAAAAAAGTCCTGGAAATGGAGACTGGTGATGGCTGCATAGCATTGTGAATGTATTTAATGCCACCAAGTTGGACATTTAAAATGGCTATAATGGCAAATTTTTATTAGGTATATTTTACCACAATAAAAAAATAAATTGAGGACTTACATTATTGGTAAAATTATGTAGGATCTCTAGGCTCCTTTTGTATTCCCGTCCTTCTTTAAACATAAGAAACAAAAAATCAAGCCAGAGCCAGGGCATCTTCATTCTCTGATGTATCAGATCACTTATTCTATACAGAGGATAAAAATACATTAGCTGATACATGGGGGAAAATGTATTTCTTTAGCACCTATTTGGTGTCTGCTCTCAACAAGGGTAATATATGGAAATGAGGATGATTTGTCTTAGAAGCTACTAAAAGACCCGTGTTTTATACTCAACAATGAATGCATGGGCTTTTACACATCCAATGAAGCTTAAAATTTTAATGGTTTCCTTAGCAGAAGGAAAAATTCATTATAGAACATCCTTACTAGATGGCCATCTGATGTGTGCTTCTGTTTCTTCAGAAAGAGTTCTTGACCTCCCAAGGCTGCTGTGGCTCTTGAATCACATGTTGGGATGAAATCTGCCTCTTTTTAATATCCACTCATTAGCTTGATCCCTCCTCTGGAGTGACAGAATACAAGTGGTTGCCCTCTTCCAAAAAGAAGTGCTTGTCAGATACTCATGGGTCACACAGCTGTCCCGAGTACCTCCCTTGTCATTTCCAGTGATAAAGAAGTAAGACCTCAACAGATTCCCCCTCCTTTGAGACTGGCTTAGACCCCAGTTCTTCAGAGATATGTATCCTGACCACCCATCCATAGAACATGTCCCTCAAGCAGAGGGGCAGAGGGAGAGAGAGAATCCCAAGCAGGCTCCATGCTCAGCACAGAGCCCCACGAGGGGCTTGATCTCACAACCCTGAGATCATGACCTGAGCCTGAATGAAGAGTTGGAGACTTCATGGCCTGAGCCATCTAGGTGCCACCCCGTTTTCCTTCTAATGTCAACTTGATCTTTTCTTTCTAAGCAATTATTAGAATTTATGTTTGCATTTGTTTGTTTCCATGTATGTCTCCCTGATATTCTTGCTGTTTGTGTGCTGCTATAAAACCAGTCAACACCTAGGGCCATGAATGGCAGGTGACAGATGCTCAGTAAATACTTATAAAAATAAAATGAAATGAGCAGTGAACTAAAGATAGGCAACATTAATTCAAATCCTGGCCCTGACTCTTAATAGTTGAATACTTGCAAGTCATTTTTAAAGTAAAATTGATTATTTCAATTAAAAAATAATACATACTTGGAGCAGAAACTATGGGAATGGAGAATGAACAACAACAACAACAGCAAAACAGTGTAAGAAAGAGAAGCACACACACAAAACAATAATAACCATAGCTAAGATTTTGGTATAGTATCTTCTAGTTTTTTCTTTCTATAAATAATTTTTTATACCTAGTGGTAATCATACTAAAAAACTTGTTTTATCTTTATCACTTAGCATCATAATATAATCTTTCAATATATTATAATAGAATCATTTTAAATTATGGCATAATCTGGGTGTGTCATGATTTACAAAACCATTCCGCTACTGGCCAAATACATACTTAAATGACGAGGTCCATTTTAGTATAAACTTTCATTTTGAAACAATGAAAAAGATACTCACAAATTATTAGTTATAATTTTTTAAGCCCTAATCAGTAACCATTTTAAAGATAATTAAAAGGACTTCATTTACCTATAAACTGCACGGACATATTTGGAATCATCATTTCTTTGAGCACCAATATTCTTCCCCATAGCTGTTTCTGCAAAACACAGGCAAGAAGCAACCATTCAGTTCGAGCACATATCCTCTGTTTATTTTCCAATGGCAAACACTTAAAAAAAAAAAAAAGATATAAGTCCTGTTTCTGTCCTCAGAGATTTTAAAATTGTTCTCTCCCCCTTTTGCTTCTTCTCCTGTATCTTTACTCCCTGTTCCTGCTCCTTCTTCCCTCTGCCTTCCTAGGCATGTTGGCTCTATGACTGTTTTGCTCAAAGCCCTCCCAGGGGCTGCTGCTTCCTAGGGGGCTGAGCAATAAGACCACCCTGAAAAACCCAGTATCCCTTCCAGATCCCCTCAGTCACCTTCCCACTGGAATATTATTTTCTGTTTGGGCCATCCTATCTCTACACCGTAACTTTAGGAACAAATCAGTGAGACTTACCACAAATTATATCTAAGGTACAAAGAGTGATGTAAAAAAAGCAGTTAAATGCTTCTTGGTTAACATGTTTTTCAAGCTTGTTAACCAATATATTTGCTTGTTCATTCATGACATCTAAGAAATCTTCCAGAATTGTAAAATGGAAAGTGGGCGTTAACATTTTTCTCCTAGATCGCCATTTGTTTCCAGTACTAGAAACACAATACATGGTCACAAACAAGAGAAGCAACATCAGAAACAAAGTATAAATTTAGCCAAGTCAACAAAACTCTACTCAAAGAGCTTAATCTATAGATTCTCAAATGCTTTGGTCAGAATGACGAAGATTCATAGATAGCTACAGAATGTGGATAGTTTAGATATTATTCTTTTTTTTTTTTAAAGATTTTGTTTATTTATTTGACAGAGAGAGATACACAGCGAGAGAGAGAACACAAGCAGGGGGCAGAGGGAGAGGGAGAAGCCGACTTCCCGCTGAGCAGGGAGCCCGATGTGGGGCTCGATCCCAGGACCCTGGGATCATGACCTGAACCGAAGGCAGATGCTTAACAACTGAGCCACCCAGGCGCCACTAGATATTATTCTATGTTACTAAAATTTAAAGGGGCACTCATAAAAATTGAAAAATTTAAGAATTTTTCTAAATTTCCAAGCTCCGAGTTTCCAAAATTTATTTTTTCTCCCCTCTATTAAAACCTCAGTCCTCAGATGATCCCTATGGTCTATGATTCTACTTTGATCTCTACTATCTTCATATTCTCCACAGACCCCACAAGGGTCCTGCCTTTTTCTTGGCAGGCCCTCTCTCAGAGGATGGAGTCCTATTTCCGGACTGAGATTTTGTGCTCCATATACTTTGCTGGAGATGACTGCCTTTTTCACTAGATTTTCAAGATCTGCCTGCCCCAAGTTCTTCTTTGCTTTACTCCATTCATACACCAGGACCTGACTCTTCTTGAAACATTGGTCATCATCATTATTGAGTCCCGTGGCTGGAGATTACCATACACCCTGGACTCCTGTCTGTCAGAGCCCATTGTTCTCCAGACCTTTCCTTCCAGCTTTCTCCCCTACTTCCTGGTAGCACAGTCTTGCAGACAGGAGAACTACTTTGTGGCCATTCCTGACATAACACGTTACCTAGTGAAGTAACTGTTTCTATGAGACAGCTTTACAAATCTACACTGACATACCTTGTAAGAAGTCCTAGGCCAAGCCATGGTTCCAGGAACTTGTACATATAGGATTTGTCAATTTGCCTTGAACTAGTTAAAATTACCTTGGAAAGAGAAAAAAATTGAGAGATATATAGACATCAAAACAATTTCAACTCTAAGTTGAATTCTACCTGGCTAGACCACTACTTTTGAAAGGAACATCTTATAACTATTATTTCTCTGTGATTCATTTTTATTTCTGTGCCTTAAAGAAAGTCAGGTAGAGTTTTGAACATATAACTGTCATTCAGTCTTGGGACTAAATGGAGTTGAGAAAAAGGAAAATGTCCAAGATGATGCCCTGGATCCTACAATGAACTAGGAACCAAGTGGAGTCATTTACTGAGGGTGGGAGGAGAGGAGAGAGAAGATAAATGAATCCAAGCATGACCATGTCCAGGGAGATGGAAATCACAAGTTCATTTTTGGGCATATTGACTTGGAGACATTCAAGTTGCTATGGTCTGAAACAGGAATGATGCTCAGGATAAAGACTTGACCTAGAAGTACACATTTGAGTATCTCCAGCATGTGAGTAACACTGAAAGCCATGAATGTGATCAGATCACCTAGAATCCAAGTGGAGTAGAGGTGATGAGTATTTAGGTCTGAGCACAAAATGCTCCCCAGGCTCCTAACTCCAGTCCTGCACTCTGGACAGATCTCTCTCACACACACCAGACCTGCTCATACCAAGTGAGCAGTGGCTGAAATCCTGCACCTGTCTCCTCACTATCTATTCTGAACCAGGCTGCTACAGTGTGGTACAGAGAAATTCAACATTTTCACTGCAATAACTAAGAAATATCCCAGCATTATTGCCTAGGAAGTTACGTTTAATTTTGTTCCAAGAAGCTCTGTTTATCCAATTCTTACTCCAAATCCTTTTCTCATCAAACCACAAGATAATCTCCCTGGTGTCATAATGTTAAGTAAAAGGTATACAATCTTTTTGAGCAGTTATCTCAACAGCATGGATTAATGATATCTACCCTATCGATATCAGGGGAGCATTCTTTTTTAAGAAAATTAACTTGGAATAATAAATTTGTAACAGATCTGAAACTCTGATCACCTTGAGAAAAACACTCATACTTTATTAGTCTTACATTTTTGGACTCCTGAAACAGTGCCTGGCAGATAACATGTGTGCTCACCTTACGGAATAATCTATTTATGGTTCTACAAAACTATATCCTTATGCAGATTTTCCAAAAAAAAAAAAAAAAAAAAGGAGAACAAATATCTTGGATCTGATAACAAATGTATACAGAGGCTGCTTTGTCCAGAGGCTGCTACCCTCCCCAGGATTTAGACAATATCTGGAAAGCATTAAATGGCACCCACATAGCCAAAAATATGTAATGAAATGCTGAATATACTGAATTCAATTAAATATAAGAACATTGTTGCTATATTTATTCTGATGAGATTCTCACACCATCAGACATGCAGTGGAATAGTGGTCATATTGACCGCACACTCACCTCTACACTTTCTGCATTATAAATGGCCACTATTGGTATGGGCCCAAGCCAAAGTTTCAGTAGTGGTTGGTGTCGGTATTCTTCGCTGTAACAAATGAGCTGCTGAAAAAATTCTGGGAGAAAATATTTAATTTTCAATGAGTTTCTTGTTGTGTCTTTTGAGTTGTTTTTTTGTTTTGTTTTGTTTCGTTTTTTATTTACTTCGGGCAAGTCACTTAATATTTCCCACATCTCTCACATCTTCAAGGTAAACTACACAGTCCCTATTTAATGACATGACTGAATGGCGAGGGTAATTTAATTATGAGTAGGATAACATCCAAGGAACATGCACCTCCAAAGGACCCAATCCCTACTCTCAAGGATCTTCTAACCATGGAAGATGGTCACTTTTGTAACACCAGAGAAAATGAAATGGTTGCTAAAAGACAAGTTCTGCTCTGAGGAGTTATTGATTCTCATTGAGAGGGCTGAAAAAATTTCATGAAGGAGATGGCATTTGAGCATTAAAAAATGAGTTGTATTTTTATAGGCAGAAAAGGGGAAACAGGGGCTTACAGAATGTAAGCCAAGCAGCAGAAACAGCAGAGCAGAAGCACAGAGGTCTGGAAATTCCCCAAAGGGGCAGCCAAAGCATAAGATGGGGTGATACCATTGGAACAGGAGATTGGAGTGTTGGAGGGTTTGATTTTCTTTTATACACTGTAAGGAGTAATTGGAAGTTTCTGATGAGGACTAGCATGACTGGAGTCACATTTTAGGACAATAACACTAATGTGGTGAGATCACCTGGGTATACTGAAGCCACTGGGGGTGGGGAAAAGGCTGGGATTCAATGCTGCTAGAGTTAGGGGCATTGGCTGTGCAATATGGCAGGCCCTTACTTTAGGTGTGGGGAAATGATGACAATCCCAACTGCAACATCAAAGTAGTGTGGAAAACTTGGGAGTCAACACTTTTCATGTTGCAATCCATGACGCCCCCCTCTGGGGAATGCAGTATGGCATTATGAGAGATCAAGCCATGACAAAACTCTCCGTGAGGAAATGCCATATTGATGAATGTCATCTGGGTAGAAACAAAGGACAGTAGCCAGTGACTAAAGAATTAATATACAGGGTCCAGACCTCAAAGAAAAGACATGGCAAAGGTTAGACATGCTTTCAGAACACAAGTCGAACAAGATGAAGTTAAGGGAGGATTTGAGTCCTAGCTGGGGAATTGATTACATGTCAGGAAATGGGGCAGAAACTGCTGGGAAAATCTAGGTAGGAAGGGGTGGGGAGGGGCAGGCTAGTTGGTAGGCATATGGGAATTCAGGGCTTCTTCTGGACAAAGGGAATGCCTGATTAACAACAGCAAGGCTAATTCCAACCCCACTGTGAGGCTACTAATACGGTACTTAAGATTTTTGACAGAGCTATTTTGACATAGATATTTGGGCACCAAGGACAAATGGACATGGCATAAAAAATGAACCATTCAACTTTTCAGCTCTTTTTCAATGCCAATATGTGTACATGCTTAGCCCATCTCTGCTCCTCATTCATCAGTAAGCTTCACCCATCAGGGCAGGCTGCACAAAATGCAGTAGGAGAGGAGCTAAGGCTCACGGATGTCCATCACATAGAATGTTAAATAAACACTAATGATTTTTTTTTTTAAAGTGCGTATTTCGGCACATCAAAACCTGGTAATAATCATCCTAAAATAGCTAACATCCATTATGTCATGTTCATTTACTGCAGCAAGTTATTATATGTCAGAGCTAGTGTTAAGGTTCTTGGTACATTGTCTTTTATGCCTCACCATAGTTAAGAGGAAAGGCACTACTATTATTGTCCCAATTGAGGAAACTGTGCACAGCTAAGTAACTTGCCCAATATCACAGAGCTAGTAAATGACAGAACCTGGCTTTGTACTTAAGGCAGTTAAGATCCTACAATGTGCCATCTTAACCATTACACCCTATTGCTTCAAAATGTCTCCTGGTCCAAACAGTTGTCAAAGTTTCTATGAAAAGAGCTGGGTCAAATCAACAGTGTCAAAATACCACGCTTTGTGATAATCACCAGCTGCCTTGGTCTGATCTGACAGAGGAGACAGGAAAGTGTGAGCCCGTGGTTTGACGGTATCGGGTCCAATATCAGAGAACAGTTGGAAAAGGCATGTGTTGTCATAATGGAGTAAAAAGCAAGAGATTGGTTTGAAAGGCTAATGAAAGGTCAACTGCAGAACTCCAGGTGAGATTATTGAGGCCAGAATTTGGACAGTGGCCACAAATCAAAAGCATAGCCTCCTGCCCAAGAGACAAGGTCACTGAGAACAGGGACTATATCTTAGAATAATCCTACAACAACCACTTTGTTTAGCTCAATGTTGGGTACAAGGCGGGGCTCCATGTTTGATTGAAAATTAAGGAACTTACTCTAACCAAGTTCTAGACAGTGATCTAGAAACACCATGCATTAAATTTACTCCTTAAAATAACTCTGTCATACAGTTACGTTTACAAGTAAAGTGTTTAAAAAAAGCCCTTCTAACTTAGCTTTCATATTTGCCTTATATATTTTGGTGCTCGTCTGTTAGGTGTATATATATTTACAAATGTTATATCTTCTTGTTGGATTGACCCCTTTATCATTATGGAATGCCCTCTTGGTTTTTTATTAATCTTTGTCTTAAAGTCTATTTTGCCTGGTAGAAGTAGAGCTTCCCAGCTTTCTCTTGGTTTCCATTTGCATGAAACATCTTTTTTCTATCACTTCATGTTTGGTCTGTGTGTGTCCTTGGGTCTAAAGTGAGTCTCTTATATGCAGCATATAGATAGGTCTTGTTTTTCTATACATTCAGCCACACCATGTCTTTTGATTGGAGAATTCAGTCCATTTACATTTAATTATTGATACTGCCATTTTGTTCAGTGTTTTCTGGCTGTTGTTGTAGTTCTTCTCTGTTCCTTTTTCTTCTCTTGCTCTCTTCCTTTTAGAGAGTTTGAAACAACTTCTCAAATTTAAAGTGAGCAGAGCTTTGCCTGATGCCAAAATCCAGTACTTGCTGGATTAAAAAGTCCCTTTGTAAAAGCCAGTATATTGTCATTCTCTTCACCCAGAAAGTAACTCCAGGGAGAATTATTTTAAATATTCCAATCAACTCACCGTATATTTTGAAACAGGTCTCATTCACTGGAGATTTCAATTCTTAAAAAAATTTCCCAAAAGAATATGATGAGATTTTTTTAAGCATGTTATTTCTTTTGGGGGGTGGGAGATTAATACTTGTACACAATTATTTTTTAATGCTATAAGGCCTCAGGGTAGAAGGAGAGGTTAGCTCTGGTTTTTTAATATCAACCAAGATAATTTTTACAAACATGGTTTTCATATATCTAAATGCATTATTGGATCACTTGTAACATTAGTCACACTGATGTACAGGTGATGAAAAGTTAACTTGGATTTCTTCTGCTAGAAAACATTTTCAATATTTTGATAAACACTCCCCCATGAGGCCTTGTCTATTTCTGTGAAGTTGAAATGATAGCCTTTTGGGGGTGGGTCGGGGGGGGGGGGTCAGAGCTGAAAAAGAATGCCTCAAGCTTTGGAGCTAATGTTCAACTTGTAAAACTGTTATTTATAATTAATCTGATGTGAAACTAAAGGTTGTGGCCCTAGGCTTATTTTAGAATACTTCATTTTGGGCAAATTTTTTCAGCTCTGGGTATCCCAACGTATACACCCATTAAAATGAAGTGAAGTGCTAAGATCTAATTCACTGTCCCCAGTGGGAAACTGTAAATACCAGGTACTTTTGAGAGCTTTCTAACTTAAAATGTTGTGTTTCTTTTTTTTTTCTTTCTCATCAACAAAGCACAAATCAATCTCTTCAAAAAGATATCGGTAGAAAACAATTCACTGTTTAATAACTAAGGTCTTTAAAACATGCCGTGTAAGGTTGCCAGAAGGCCCTGCCCTCATAGTTTACTGTTATTATGTAACCTCCTTAAAAGGACTAAAATAAGAAGGTCGAAAAAGAAAGAAAGTTGTGGTCGAGTCTTGTGATGTGGGGAGGGAGAGAAGTCTCAAATCAATCCCTAGCCTGATTTTCCAGAGGGCGGTGGGTGGGTGGAGAATGATGGTACTGTTTTAAGGTACTTGCCCAGTTTCAGGGAAGTTTCTGCCCTTCAGGCTTTAACAGCCAAGAGACAAGACTGGCAGTGTTTTGAGATAGGAGTAGCTAGGAAGTGAGAAAGAAGAGAAAATGCAGGACAGGACTTTAGAAATACTGCGTTCTAGCCTATGCATAAAGAAAAAGTTCACGTGAAACAGGGCGCCCTAACAATTTTATCAGGTGTCACAGGGCAAACTGGATAGAACTGGGAATCCACTCTCCAGGGGGTGACAGATTCTTCTTTCTCCTAACAAGCAGCACCGCAAGCAGAGGTGCTCTCGGCTGCCGAGAAGGCGGGCGCGCGGGGAGAAGGTGCAGAGCCGGCTGAGGCCCCGAGGAGGTCCCGCACCCTGGGGCTTCCTGCCAGGCGGGGCCCCGCAGGCAGGGAGCCCCGCCGACCGCCGGGGGGCAGCTGGCGGGCCTGGGCGCGGTCCCTTACCTCTCCCGTCCGGCTTCATCCACAGCGAGTGTCCCACGAACGGGTAGGCGCCGGGTAACGTGGGGAGGGGCCTCATCTGCTGCCATTTCCGCGCGTAGCTAGCCAGCATCTGCAGGAGGTTCAGGATTAGGGTGGCGCCCCCCACCGAGATGGCGCTCAGCGCGCCCCACATCAGCAGCTTCGGCCCCCAGTGCACCAGCCACAGCGCCAGCATCGCGCCAGCGGTCTGCTCCGCACAGGGATCGAGACTGCCCGGAGGGCAGTGGCGGGGTGCTGGTCCGGCCCCTGGAGGTCAAGGGCGCTGGTCCTGGGAGGAGTTCCGGGACGCCGCAGGGATGCCAGCGCGCCCCAAGGGGGAAGAGGTGGCGCCCGGCCCGCTCACTCCTTCCTCCTCCTCCCACCGGGGACAGGCCCAGGCCTGGCCTCCCTGAAACGGGGACCCCGAGACCCAGGCTTCCCGCTGCAGGGGCCGCCCTGGGCCTCGGGACTAGGCGGGAGCCTCGCAGGCTCCAGGAAAAGCACCGCTGGGGTTGTTACTGTGCTCGGCAAAAACCTACGTAATGCACACGGGCCTCTTTATTTGGTCAAGCAGAAACCAAAAGACCGGGAAAACAGCTTCGGGGTTCCATAGAGTGTTGCTGAATGTAAATGAAGGCACTTAAGTGAAGTGGGAGGAGAATGAGAGTGAAATTTGAGGCAGCCGCGCGTGGCCCAGGTGGGCTGAGCTTTGGGTTTTAGGTCCCTGATGCTGGTCACAGGAGAACTCCAGCTAGAAGACACCAATATGTGTAAAAATTGAAATAAAGAGGTATCTGGTTTGAAATTCAACCTTAGGAGCTTTTTTTTTTGTTCCCCCCTTCCCCGCCGGCAGGGTCTCTAACCTCATGCTTCCTTGCACAACCCTGCAGCGTTCCACTCTGTTAGGACTGGCTGCCTGTCCCCGGGATTGCACCCAGCTTCTGCATCATTCAGAGCACGATCTACTCCGATCTACAGGAGTTTTAGGGACAAAACAGCCTTAGAAGCACCAGTTTTCAGTTTGCATCACGTGCCTGATTGAGAAGGGAAAGCTGGGTTGCTGTGATCCAAATATTTTCCAAAATATCCTTGGGACCCTGAAAAGCCAGCACCTAAAAGAACAAGTCAGGGAAAAGGTCAACGCCTTTGAAAGAAGTGGAAATCAGAGAAGCTGGGAAAGGAGGTTTTGGTAAGGAGACGGTAATTATGACGTAATCCCAAAAGAGAATGAAGACCAATCACTGAGCCTGCAGAAGGAAAAGGACAGTGACAAGGATGCTGGAATTCTGCCCAAGGGTTGTGTTCCCTAACTACCAATTTCCCTCTTTTTCTCAGACTGGGCTACCTCAATCGTGCCTTAACCTTAAAAATAAAACTGTCAGTTATTTTACCCGCAAACATGGGAAGTATACTTAGTTGTAGCAGAGAACTGCGATTTAAGGCATACGAAAGACCGCAAAACCATCGACAAGCCCAGAGAACGAAGAAGGAAAAAAAGCCCTCTTTTATAGGGGAAGGAGGGAATTGGCAGTGTGTTAGAAACAAAAAGTCCACTGGCTAATGTGGGAGTTCCAAGTGTAGTGGCTTCTCATTGGCTGAACTGTGACAGTCTTTCATTGGCTGTGCTGTTGCTAGGGGAGGAGAAAAACTTTTCTCCCTCCCTCCTGGGATAGTAAAGTAATATCACTTGCGAGTACCTCTCTTTGTGTTGGGTCTGCAACTGAGGATGAATGGTAGGGTGCGAGAGCCCTGCTGGCCTCCCGCTCCATTTCCGATGAGGTTCTCCTCCCTTTTTTTCGTATAGAGTCTTTTTTTTAAATTTTTTTTATGTTATGTTAATCACCATACATTACATCATTAGTTTTTGATGTACTGTTCCGTGATTCATTGTTTGCATATAACACCCAGTGCTCCATGCAGTACGTGCCCTCTTTAATACCCATCACCAGGCTAACCCATCCTCCAACCCCCCTCCCCTCTAGAACCCTCAGTTTGTTTAAGGGCTTGGGCTGGGAGTGCCCCTCTCCTGGTAGCAGGTCCCTAAACTATAGCAAAAGTGTCAAGGAAGCTGGTAAGTTTAGACATGCTCTGGATTCCTACTTTGCTTAATTAGATTAGTTTTATCTGCAGCTATTGTATAGGTTTCACACAGGCATTTACAGGGCCTCTTTGAAGTAGAGAGAAACACTGCCCAGGGCTTTTCTCCAACTGATTTTTTTTTTTTTTTTTTAAGTCATCTGTAAGTACCAGTGTGGAAAGAGGCTCATGAAATACTAAGTGGAAAACTAATAAACAACTTGCAGAACTGAATACATAATGCATGTCATCTTTATATAACTGCAATATATATTGCAGAACTGAATATATAATGCCATGTCATCTTTGGGAGAAAAAGTTTCTTTCCCTACAGTTAAACTAATGTCTAGAAAGAAAAATACTGATCAATTCTATGGAGTGGGAATGGAGAAGGACTTACACTATAAGTTGTCTTTTGTCTTTTTGTCTTTTAGTCACGTCTATATTCTTGTCTTCTACTCACTTCTATATTGTTTAATCACGTTAAGACCTTAAGAAAATGTATTTATTCAATCTATTTAAGTATATCGCATTATTTTTATTTTCTTTCTCTTCTAAAGGACTGAGTCCACATCTCCCTTTAGATCCATTCCCCTGCTCCCCTTTACAGAAAAATCCCTCAAAAGACTGGCCATGCCTGTTGGCTTCAATTCCTCTCCTCATATTCTCTCCTGAACCCTCTGCAACCAGGCCTTGTCCATTTCACTAACACAGATCTTGTCAACGTCACCAGTATCTTCCCTGTGGCTAAGTCTTTAAGTAATTTCTTGGCCCTTATCAACAGCATTCAACATATTTGAGTCCTTGTCACCTCCTTGGAAAACTTTTTTCCCCCACTTGACTTTGAGCATTCCACGTTCTTTGATGTTTGTTCTCCCACACCAGTCATTCCTTCTCAGTCGGCTTTGCTAGTTTCTCTTCACATCCTGTTCCTCTAGATGTTAAGAGGCCCAGGGCCCAGAACTCTTGTTTTCCCTGCATGTCTACACTCAGTCTCTTGGTTATTTCATCCACTTTGGCACTCAAATACCATCTAGATGTTGACAGTTGCCAAATATATCCCTCCAGTCTGTACTTCTTCTCTAAACCCCAGGTACAGTTAACCAAATGTCTCAACATCCCCACTTAGGCAACTAATAGGCATCTCTCTCTTTTTTTAAAAAAAATATTTATTTATTTGAGAGAGAGAGAGAGCCTGAGCAGACGGTGGGGCATAGAGGGAGAAGGAGAAGCAGACTCTCCACTGAGCAGGGAGCCCGATGTGGGACTCGATCCTAGGACCCTGGGATCATGACCTGAGCCGAAGGCAGATGTTTAAATGACTGGCAGATGCTTAACCAACTGAGCCACCCAGGCGCCCCTCTTATAGGCATCTCAAACATGACATTCACAGCATGCTCCCTAGTGTTAAGCCAAAGCCTAGGAATCAATCTTGATTCCTTTTCATCACAGTCCATATACAGTGCAAAAGCAAATCCTACTGACTCAAATTTCAAAAGATATCCAAAGTCCCTTGACTCCTCACCAGCTGTACCACTATCATCTGATCCTGAACACCCTCTGGAGTCAGATTATATCACTCCTCCTGAAAACTCTCCAGGGGCTTCCTATTTCAGATAACTTACCATTTCCAAGGTCAAAAAGGATTTTAACCCTTCGGCTGCAATTACTTCACCGATCTCATCTCCTATTATACACCCGCTTGCTAATTCCATGCCATGTCCCACTGGCCTCTTTTCTGTTCCTCAAACCTCCAGGTATGCTCCTGTTTTAGGACTATGTGTTTTTCCTGTCTAGAATGCTTTTTCATATATACATGTTTCTTTTCCTATCTTCAAGTCTTTGCTCAAATATTACCTCTGCAATAAAGCCTTTCCTGACTATTTTATCTAAAGTTGCAGCTCTTTCCACTGTTACCTTTGTATGTTTCTTTGTATGTTTCTTCACAGCACTATTGCTACCTGACCTTGCATTATGTTGGTATCGATTTGTTTATAATCGTTCTCCTCTGCTAGAATCAAAGTTCTATTAGGGCAAACACTTTGGACTTTGTCTTGTTCAGTCCCAATGCTTAGAAAGAATCTGACGCAAAGAAGGTGCTTGATGAATATTTGATGAAATAATAAATCCATGATTATCACACAGGAATGTCATTGCCTGGGGGGAAAAAAGCTTATATTGGGGTATTCATAAACGAGATAAACCCTCCCAAACATGTATGGTTATGTATTTTTAATTTCCTGGGAAAAGTATGCTATGCAGTTAGAAATAAATGAGTGAATAACCCGTGTATTAGAAACTGGAGAGGTACACAAATATAAAAATTGGGAATGGAAAGAAGTTTTATAAGTGTAATAGAAGTCTTGAAAATTCTTTCAATACTTTTATTAAAAATTAGAGAGCTAAAATTCCTGAATAAGATCTGTGGTCATAATGAAGCAGGGACAATAAAAATCAATACCCACATGTTTTATGACATTTTATAAAAATGTACCTCATAATTGGCATGGAAATTCCATTCTAGTTCGGAATATCAGTATGGATACTTCCGTTGATATTAAATTTATAAAATTTAGCAGTTTTCTATGGTATTTTACATGTTTTTATATTTTTATTTTTTTCTTAAGATTTTATTTATTTGTCAGAGAGAGAGAGAGAGAGAGCACAAGCAGGGGGAGCTGCAGGCAGAGGGAGAAGCAGACTCCCCACCGAGCAGGGAGCCCGATTTGGGACTCGATCCCAGAACCCTGGGATCATGACCTGAGCGGAAGGCAGACACTTAACTGACCGAGCTACCCAGGTGTCCCTGTTTTTATATTATTTTAAAATTCCTTCATTTCTTCCTGGTTTTGGATGAATTAACAGACATTTCAGTAAATGTAGTCATTAACCTTCATTTAAAAACTGATCTCAGGAGTTATTCAACTTGTCTTTTTTAATTTTTAACAGAGAAATTCTAAGACTCATTTATCAAGGTAGATTATTATGAAAACACTGCCCCAATTTTTCCCTAATCAGTTCAAAAAGCACCATCCTTGACATAAGCATTATTTACTAACCTCTAAATCTCACTTAACCTCTAAATAAAATATTATCTTTAATACAGGTGTAAAAATATATGCTATAAACAAGTGTTTTTAAAGTCAGTGGCAGAGCCAAGTCTCTGTTATCTCTAAAATCATACTTTATCCTCTTCTTGAAAAGATTTAGAAGATGCAAATCAGGATCGCTGCACCAGGTTCTATCTTTGCAAGCATTTTTATCAATACATATATAAATAATAGATTATCATTTACAAAACTCAGAAGCCACATAAAGTAAAGCTCCCATAAAATATATTCAGTGGTTCTGCATGAGAAAATAATTTATCTTGGATACTCTACCTTAATGTTAGTTTAGAATGAATACCATTTTCCTTCTAAGAAGTCTGCGCTGATTGGGGAAGGAGTTGCATGGTTCCTGGAAATGGGCAGAAATTAGCCTGAGTGGTTCTGTTAAGAGCAGGGTGGATAGAAAGGGTACAGTTAGCCATAATTAGGGACCAGAGAAACCAAACTAGAGGCCCTCAGGAACCGGGACTCCAGACTGCTCCCATGTCGAGTAATTCCTCATATTTGGGGCCTGCTAAGTTAAGACCAATATTTTCAGGGCACCTGGGTGGCTCAGTCGGTAAGCGTCTGCCTTCAGCTCAGGTCATGACCCCAGGGTCCTGGGATCAAGCCCCGCATCGGGCTCCCTGCTCCGCGGGAAGCCT